AGGGTGCCTGCTGGGGCAGGAGCTAGCCAGCAGGAGGCAGGAATTTTTAGTCATCCTGTTCAAAACTATTATCTATGCAAGTCAAATAATTGTGAGAAAAGATGTTAAAGCTGCGCTGTACAACACACTAGCCACATGCTAGTTGAGTGTGACTAGTTCGCTATAGCAGTTTCAGAACTGGTTGGGCACCACGTTGTAAAAGATTCAACATTTACCATTTCAACTCAGACCTAAAAAAGCTCCCTCTCCTCTTCAGTTCTATGATCTCTAGCACAGGGGTCTCAAACTCTCAGCCCTCAGGCCATCTCCAGCAGGCTAGGGAGAGGAGCTACCTTTCCTATCCCCCAAGCTCCACTCCTTCCTGCCACCATCCTCCCTATGGTATCCTGTCTCCAGTGCAGAGAGGCCAACCGCTGCTACCACCCTGCATTAGATCTCCCCGGTAATCCCAGAGGATGCTCCCTCAAGGAAAGGGGTGAAATGGGGGAAGAGTGGGGTGATGGCACGAAGGGGCGGGAAATGGGGACTGGGAACAGACAGGCTCTGGGCCTGACTGCACAACTATGGGGTCAGTTTGAGACCCCCGCTCTAAGATCTCTCCAGAGCCCCCCTACTAAAACCAATAAATAAAATAAACACACACACATGCCTTCTACTTACATGGAACAAAGAGGTTTAGCACCTATTTCTAAGGTGAAAACAAACATCTTCATATATCAAAGCAGCAAAGAGGGCACAAACTCATTGTCACCTTTAATACTGTCAGACTGTAAATATGGACTTTTGTGCTTTCCCTCAACTTTCAAATGATTCTTTCAATTCTTAGTAAACCTTTGGCTATTAAAAAACTAAAGAATTAGCTTACAAGAAATTCTGTGGAAACCAAATTATTAGTCTCCTTTATCTAGAACTTGACAAAGATCAAATCTTGCAAATTTTCAGGTCAGAATGAAGCCAGTAAATACCTTTTTATGCTCTTCATATTCCAGTTTGCTTAGCAGTAATGCTTTTTCAAGATCTGCTTCAAACATTTCTGATGTCAGCTGAAGAAACAAAATTAACACAGGAACTCATGACAAGGTTTTTGTTCGATTTTATTAATAAAAAGCAAAAACGGTCAATTGCAAACCTTTAAAACTTAATTTTAGCCTATGGAATGTTATGGCTGCTGTCAACATGTTCTTGCTAATATGATGAACTGAACCAGTAAGGAGAACTAAATACATTTGCATTATAGCTGGTAGAATACCTTATTGGCAGAAACACACATCACTCAAAACTCTGAGTGAAAATATGCACTACTTAGTGACTAAGTGAGTTCACCGGCCCTTATTGCGGTTTGGTATTGAAACAAATAGTCTGGGAGACACTCGGAATGGTCTTGTTCGCTGCTTGTAAAAAGAGTGTTCTGTGTCGGTCAAGAGCATGCATTTTCATCTCGAAAGAGTTGGCGTGTGGTTTGAGGAAGAAGGTGGACAGGTATATTGTTCGGTTGATGTGGAAGGATGAGTGTACTTTGGGGAGGAATTTGGGATGGATACGCAACGTGGCCTTGTCTTTAAAAAAGGTTGTGTATGGGGGAATCCACCATTAGGGCTGTGATCTCTCCTAGCCGTCTGGCTGAGGTAATAGCTACAAGCAAAAACAGTTTTCATGGACAAGTGTAATAATGAGGTGATTGCCATTAGTTTGACAGGTGGTCTAGTTAGATCATTCAATACTAAATGCAGGTCTCCGAGTTGTATTGGTGGACTGATATTTGGACAGAGTACCTGCAGGCCCTTTAAGAACCTCAGTGAGTGCATGAGCAAATATGGACGAGTCATCTACCTTAGAGTGCAACGTAGTAATAGCTGCAAGGTGAACTTTAATGGAACTTATTGTGAGGACCGCTTGTTTAAGGAGCAGAAGATAGTTAAGGATGGTAAGTAAGGAGGATGTTGAAGGAACCAGCTGGTGACGAGCACACCACGTTGACAATCTTTTCCATTTCTGAAGGTAATACTTGTGGGTGCTCTGCGCCTTACTGTGTAGAAGGACCATTTGTACTTGAGGTCAACTCTAGGTCAGAGAACCATCCAGGTGTCACGCCTTCAGGTGTAGTGAATGGAGAGTCAGATGGCCATTGTGGGAGCCTGGGTAAAGGAGGAGATCCCTCACGCAAGGTAAGTGGATCAGTGGGGCACGGGACATCACCGCTAGGAAGAGAAACCATGGCTGGCGTGGCCATGCTGGTGCTGTAAGTATGAGATGAGCCCTCTCCCTGTTCAATAGGAGTACAGGAAGAAAAGTGTAGAATAGGTGATATGTTCACACAATGAGGAAAGCATCTCCCATTGATCCCTTGCCTATTCCTGCCCTGGAACAGAATAGGGGGTGTAGGCTATTGGTAGGGTGACCCCCCCACAAGTGGAAGATGTCCGCCAATACGTGCGGGTTCATTTGCCACTCATGTTCGACCGATACATGTTCGACTCTGCTGAGTGCAGCTGCTGTTGTAGTCAGGGCGCCTGGAGATGCACTGTGGTGATAATTGTTTTATATTTCAGGAACCAGTTCGTAAGTGCTATGGCCTCTGTGCAAAGTGCTCAAGATCGGGCTCTTCAGTGATGATTTATGTAAAAACATTGCTATGACATTGTACACACTGATGTGTCCATTGGCGATGAATGGGAGGAATCTGATGCATGCATTCCTCACTGCCCGCAATTCTAGGACATTTATGTGCAAGTTCTTGTCAGTGCTGGACCGCAGGCCCTCGCAGGTATGATGTCGCAAGTGAATGGCCCATCCTGTATGAGATGAATCTGTCATCGAGACAGATGCTTCTGGTGGGCGGAAGGGGACTCCGAAACCAAGGTTCCATGAGCTCAGCCTCCAGCGTAAGGATTCATTTGCTATCTTTGGAAGGCCTATGGATTTGGATAGCCGATGGACATTGGGCTTGTACACCTGTCCCAGTCAGCTCTGTAAACATCTCATGTGCAGATGCGCAATGCTGACTACAAAGTTGCAAACTGCCATATGCCCCACCAGCCGAAGACATTTGAGTGCCGTTGTGCAGGGGCTGGACCGTAAGGTATTTACCAAGGCCACAATTTTTTAGAAATGGTCTGTATGCAGGGATGAGGTGGTCGTTGTCAAATTGAGGAATGCTCCTATAAAAACTGTATGTTTTGTGCAGGAGAGAACAACCATTTGGTTTCGTTCACCTGAAGGCCCAGGTGTCCAAATAGGTGTCCTATAACCAACAGAGAATGGCAGGAATCGTTGTGTGAGTGCGATTGAGGAGGCAGTCATGTATGTAAGGAAATATGATAATTCTTTGTTTCCTCAGGTACACTGCAACAACCACCATTGGCTTTGAGAAGACCATAGAGAGTCCAAATGGAAGTACTTTTTATTGGTAATGTTGAGAATCTCCAACAAAAGCAAGAAAATAAAAATGCCTCTGAGTAGAGTGGGTGGCAACATGAAAGTACACATCTTCCAAGTCAAGGGAGGAGAACCAATCATCCTGTTTCAACACCAGTAATATGGTAGCAAGCATTACCATCCTGAATTTTGTTTCTGAATGAATGTACTGAGGGCTCAAAGGTCTAGAATGGGCCTCCAGCCCGCCGACCTTTAATCAGTCAAGAAGTAATGGGAGTAGAACCCCTTGCTCCTAAATTGTGTGGAGATTGGTTCAATCACTCCTACGTGTAAGAGGTGTGCTACTTCTTATAGAAGAAGGATCTCATGATAGTAGTCCCTGAAAAGGGACAGAGAAGGGGGGTGAAAAGGGGATATGGATACAAAGGGAATAAGGTAGCCTTTATCAATTATCTGCAGGAGCCATCTATCAGAGGTTATACGTTGCCAGTTGTTGAAGGACAACAATCAATGCTAGAAGAGATTTGCTTGTGTCGATGGCATTGGAATAGGTGAGAGGCTCTCTAGACCCTTGATCTGATGACCAAGTTTGCTTGCTGGACTGCTATGACTGTTGGGAATGGGTAGAGGAACGGCATTGTTGTTAGTTTCTGCCTCTGTTCTGTTGCTGCTGGTCTTGTCTATTGTAGTGTTGTGCATATGGAGGGTATCGAGGTCTCAAGTAGGGCTGATACCTAGAAGAAGGCAATATAGGTATTTGGTTGTGGATCCCCAAAGACCGAAGTGTCACTCTGGAATCTTTCATGGAGTGGAGAATTTCATTGGTGTTAGCTGCAAACAACTTCTGGCTGTCGAAAGGCAGATCATCTACTGTAGACTCAATCTCCCTGGAGGAATGGAGTGGAAATAAACCATTATGCCCTCCTTATTACTACCGCTATTACTGTAGAATGTGCAGCCATGTTAGCAGCATGTAAGGCGGCCTGTAATGCCGTTCTTGCAATCGTGTGACCCTTGAATACCAGTGCGCTTTGTAGTGTTGCCTTTTGTCCTCAAGGATGTATGTAATAAACTCGTTCAGTTTGGAATAATTTCTTGTAATCATATTTGCTCAATAAAGCTGTGTAATTTGAAATGCAAAATTGTAAATTGATGTGTGTTACGCCGGAATGCATCAAACCTTTTGCTATCATGGCCGGATAGTAACAATACCAGTATATCCTGATTTAATTTTAGCTGTGCAGCTTCCACCACCAGGGAATGTGGTGCTGGGTGAGAAAAAAATTTCAGAACCCTAGGTGGGACATAATATTTATCACCAGTTCTCTTAACCATCGAAAAGATTGATGCCAGAGTTTGCCACACCATCTTTGCCAGTTCCATTATTGCTGGATTAATAGGCAATGGTATTTTTGATGGTGTCACTGAGTGCAGTTTGTCTGTTAGCTCATGCCGATTTTCCAAAACCTCATGAAGAGCAATGTTTAATTCCGCAGATACAAATTCAAAAAGGTCTCAGAAATGTGCAGTGTTGTCTGAAGTAACTGAAGCTGGGGCCAGCGACCCTCCATCCACTGGAGAGGTTATTTGGGTCAGAAAGGGGTACTGCCTCCTATGTGAGTGGATCCCCTTCTTGTATTTGTTTGGAGGGGGAATATTGCACTCTGTCGTTTCTGGCCATGCTTGTGTTTGTGATAGTATTGCTATTTGTACCAGTATTGGCAGTAGGGGTAAGGCTCAGGTGGAGGTACCCAGGGATTGCCATAATATGAAGGCATTTTCCCAATCTGGAAGAGTAAATACTCTGAGCCATGTAAGGAGAATTCTCTGGTGAAAAAACCCACAGAGAAGTCGTCATCAGATTCGGATGAAATTTTTCCTGAGAGAGTGATTTCTGTGATGTGAACATGGCAGAGAGCGCTCAGCTTGTAAAAAATGGTGAGTTAAAAGTAGATGAGACTAATATGTCTCTGTGTTGAGTGTAATGCCCAACAGGTGCTTTCGGTGCCATAGTAGGCGGCACAGAGACTATTTGAGGCTCTGAATCATGACTCAGTGCCAAGGGCAGTTGTGCCGCATCAGGCGCCTCTTTGGAGGCAGTTGAGGTGCCTGTTAATGTGATCGGCACTGTGCTCTCATGCTGCGTCAGCAAGATTGTATCATTGCCGGATGGTGCTGCAGCTAATGAGGCAGGCAACTGGAGCCTGTCGCCTCAGAGCGCGATTTAGCACAAGCGCGCTGTTCGTCTCCACTGGGCATTCCAAAGATGCCAGCGACATCATACATGCTGCGGCATGGTGCCAGATTGCTCTTAGCACCGGCCGTGAAGGAGACGGCTACTTTGGTGCCATAGCCTCTTGATATGCTGAAGAGGCTCACTTTTTTGGCGGGCTTTCTGGATCTCCACTGCTTAAGTTCCTTAGGCTGCTGGTCCAGATCAGAGGCTGATCTAAGCGAGTTTTCCAATAAAAAAATAACTTGAGCTGGAGAGCTGTCTTTCTCTGCCAACAATTTTAAGTTTGCACAATGAGGGCATTTCCGAGCGTTATGCTGCTCTCCGAGGCAGTGGACGCATTGTGAGTGACCGTCCAATATCGGGATAAGCTCTTTACATGAGGTGGAGCACTTAAACCACGGTGAGCCAGGCATGCCTGTGGAATCAGTCAGAGATTGCAAAAAGGGATTAACTGGGAGAAAAAAAAAAACCCCTTATACTAATCTAGATTTTTTTTAAACTAACAAAGTAATTAACTAAGTATTTAAACTCACTAACTAAACTACTATAATGACTTTTATTGGTTTTAAGAAGTATAATCATCCAAACATGAAGAAGCTAGGGCGCACTGCTGAATCCATCTGTAGCTGGAGGCGGCAGAGAAGGAACTGAGGAGTGGGAGGGGAGGCTCGTGCATACCCGGTACCTGCAGCCTAACAGTGCGCGGCTGCTGGTGTGCGGGTGCACGGCCCCAGGATACTGCAACAAAAACTCTACTATGAGGCTCGGTGGCAGCACACCGACCTAATGTGGAGCACCCACATTGACATAAATAATCCCTGATTCGAAGAAGAATTAGGGGTTATATATGGCAATTAGCAGACATCTTGCATTGATAGAGGAGACTATTCTTCACAACATAATGGCTTGTTAGGTGTGCTGCTATTCAAAAGATCTGGATTTGAGAGTAAACTCAACCCATCAGAGGATCAAGAAGAAAAAACCAACAGAAATGCTGTATTGATAAAAAGGGTGATGAAAAAGGAACTTCAAAATATTATTATAGCAAAGAAAATCTTTAAAATACACCAGATTTAAATGTAAAAGTTGAGCAGAGCAGGGTATGTATACACTTATGCCATCCCTTAACATTTTTGTTTGCAGTTTTAGCCATGTTGACTCAGGATATTAGACAAACAAGGTTGGTAAGGTAGTATTTTGGTCTCTTTCATAAAAGAAGCTGTTCCTATAAAAGATTACCGTATCTACCTCAACTCATTAAAATGTTTGGAAGATGAATGACAGCCCATAAGCTGCTTTGAAAAATCTCAGCCATAGCTATTTCTCTCACATTTAGCTCTGAAGTTCGTATTATTCTGCAAGACAACCAAACAAAATAATTTGATATAACAAAGTTTACCTGTTCATCTCTTTGTCTCCATTCTTGCCAATTTTCTTCCTGAGAGTCCTTCTGCATTGGATTGTGCAATGTTTGTTCATGTTGAGACAGACAGCCTCCATGCAAGGATTTCTGAGGAATCTTTTTAAAAGCAAGATTTCGGAGCTACAAAGCAAGAATCAGGAATATAAATCAATGTGCTGCTATTTACTAGAATATTTGTGATTGTACAGCAACAATATGCTAGTTGGGTTCTCTTACACATTTAGGCCATGTCTACACTACTAGGGTATGGCTAAGACTACAGGGTTTTGTTGACAGAAGTTTTGTCAACAGATACTGTCGACAAAACTTCTGTCGACAAAGAGCGTCTAGACTACATCCAGTTCTGTCGACAAAGCAAGCCGCTTTGTCGACATAACAGTGTGGACGCAAAGGACAGTGTAGATGCAATAATGCCTTCTATCGACAGAACTCTGTCAACAAAAGGCGTTATTCCTCGTAGAATGAGGTTTACATACGTCGACAAAACTGCTGAGTTTTGTCGATGTTATGTCGACATAACTCAAAGGCAGTGTGGACGCAGGTATAGTTTTGTCGACAAAAGTCCACTTTTGTCGACAAAACCCTGTAGTCTAGACACACCCCTAATGTAGACAAAACTTATGTTGCTAAGGGATGTGAAAAAGCCACACCTCAAGCAATTTAAGTTTCACCAGCATAAATGGTAGTGTATATAGCTTCTCATGCTGACATAGCTACTGCCACTTGTAGGGGGAGGTTTAGGTTGACGGGAAAGCTCTTTCTCTTCAGTACAGAGCAGTTGCACAAGCTGTGCCACTGTAAGGTCTCTAGTGTAGACATAGCCTTAGGATCTGCCTATAACTTACATCAGCCTAAGCCTTCAGTCAACTTTTCATTTCACCAATTACTTAAACAAATGCAGCTGAAGTAGTTTCATTAGCTGATTATTATGATGTTTACAACAGAAGTGATACTACCTCACCCACCTTGTCTTTCTAATATCCTGGATCTGACACAGCACCCATAAACAGTGGATGCAGTGTCAGACTCAGATAATAGAAAGACAAGGTGAGTGAGGTAGTATCACATCTGTTGTTGGAAAAAAAACCCTAAGCTTTCAAATTACACAGCTCTTCTTAATTAAGTCAAGCATGTGTTAAGTACTACTTCAATCTGAAGAGTTATTTTTATAATTGTTTTCTGGCATGTGAATACCACGGTGATAGATACCTTGGATAACTACAAAATAATGAAAAGTAACATTAAAGACTCTCCAACTCAAAAGCCAGGAATTTCATAGTTCACCTTTAAAGTGCATGGTTGTCCTCCCAGCCCTAACTTTATACTACATTTAAAAAATAAAAACAATAGTAATACATAGACATAGGAAATACCATAGTAAAAAGACTACCTGTCCACTCAGTTATGTATTTTCATGAACAAAAGTCAGTGCCAGATGTTTCAAATACAGAATTAAGAGCCTTACTATGCAACTAATTCTAATTCTGAATGACTGTTTCACTGGGGATGGGGAAATGTGATTTTTCTGGACCACAGATGACATCCTTCAGAGTCAGTCCTTACAATTGTATCTTAGATCGTGTAACATTAGATGTGATGTATAAGTCAGTCCTTACAACTGTATCTTAGATCGTGTAACATTAGATGATATTTTCACTCAAATTAATAATTCTTAAATATACATATGTATATATAAACTATTAAACAAGATGGTATTGATAATGTTGAAGCACCAAGGCTAGGCATGTTCCCCCCCTCCCCCCCCGCTCCAATCAGAAAATGTTCAAGTTAATATTGCATCTGCAACATTGAAAAAAATCAGTTTTAAAAAATGCACCTTCCCAAAACTGTTTTGCCTACTATTGCTACAAGTAGGTATCAATTCTAAGGAGATATTTTTCTTTGCAACGCCTGTATAGGATTGGTAGACAATGCCAGGGAAGCCAGTTCAGAGAACTCTTCAGACTACAGATGTGAACAAATAACCAGTTAACCAGTACCTAATAATTGCTTGGTCAAATTATATCTGGGAACAACCTCCCCACCCACAATCCACTGTGGGTAGAGAGCTGCTCCAGCCCTGTGGGGGCCAGGAGCAGAAGCTGGCTGCTCTATATTCACAGGTGCTGGGAGCAGGAGCTGGCCCCCCATGCTTGGGACTGCTGGCTCCCCCATGTGGTGGGGCTGACAGCCCTAGCCCCAAGCATTTGGGGCCAGGAGCAGAAGCTGCCCCCTCCCCCTGTACTTAGAGGGCTGCCAGATCCTGCTGCCAGCCCCCATGCACGGATCCCGCTTAATCGGTTAACTGGTTAAACCTAATGTTTAACTGGTTAACTGATTAATCGGGATTTTACATCTTGATGTCAGGCACAGCTAATGGTTCTAGCCATCTTACACTCCTCTTAGAATAATTTTCAGATCCTCTTGAATCACAGAATGTTATCAGTGTCAGGGGACAAAAAAGAATTCAATTCCTGCACAGAGTCGCAGACACAAATGAAAGGCTGTTGCTTCCCAATTTTTTTCTTAGTAGATGGAGGCACTGAAGAGACCTCAAACCCCTTGGAAAACTCTGCTGCTCTACTTGAGGAAATTGTATTCTAACAGTTAGTGCTGAAATATTAAAAGCTCTTGACTCTGGACAGGACAGAGTCTTCTTTGCCAAAAGGACTTCTTTTTGGGAAAAGATGGAGAATATAGTTCAAAGATTTCAACAACTAGGAATTGCAACACCTACCACAGGATAGTCTCTGAAATGCAAAAGCTTTATAAAGCCTACAACTGTTTTTGCTACATGCTAGTTGGAGACAAGTAATCAAATTGGACATCCCATCCTCAAATGATCATTCTTGGGCATTTTAGACACTTGGTTCATGTCTAACATTTCAGAAGCTTTGTTTATGTTTATTATTTTTCCAAGTAACTATTTTCAACAACTTAACCATCAAAAAATGTAACTATGAAGAGTATCCCAAAGCAGGGGAAAGTATGGGTTACAAATTCACTGAAGCTAGTGGACAGCGAAACCGAGGGATAGCCAGGATATGGGAAGTTTTATTTTATCAATTCTAGAACCTAAAATCTAAAACAGTTGTTTAAGGAATTCCATTAATCATGGTATGCAAGTCCAACAATTTGGATCTGCAGTTGCAATGTACAGATTTGGAGAGCCATTACTAGCAAGTATCCTCTTTCCTTTTTATATACTAACTACTTTAAAGGGCATTTTAAAAGATTTTATCAGCATACATACACTATGATGAAACAAGGAAATACAAGGATATTATGATGAATGGATCTCACCTCATCTCAGAAATTAGATGGCAAAATACTTCTAGATTCCTGTTTTTTACCTTTAAAAGAATTTAAAATGTAGCTTGTACTCCCTTAATTTCATCTTTAAAACATGGGAGGCTCCTGCTAAATAATTTGAGACTTTTTTCATAAAGGGTTTAGTGTCTTTCTCCAATAAATATTCACCACTTCCTCACTAGGGATGTAATAAGATATCTGTTTCCATGGTTAACCAATAAGCCTGGGCTTATTGGTTACCATGAACAGTTACATGCAGGGTCCCGCCCTGCTCCCAGGGAGCCAGCTGCCACCCCACACCCACAGCACAGGGCAACAACCTAGGAGTGGGGTGGGAGTAGACAGCTGGTACATGCCAGGAGCTGGCTTAAAAGCTGGCTCCCGGCATGTACTGGATCCCGGAGAGCTGGCTGCCAGCCAAGGCTGCAGGTGCATGCAACTGTGTAACCGCTAAAATTTTCAGTCATTACATGGTTACCAATTACCTGTTTTTTTTAATCATCGCTGTTCCTCACTGCAGCCCCTTTGCAGCTAACATGGATCTCTCTCTCACAAGGCAGGAATTTTGCTGCAAGTGTCATGTATAGTCTCTTTACAGAAGCGGCAGAACCTCACAGATAATGGAAATAAAAGAGCCACTTTTGAGGGCAACTATTATAGAACCACCAGTGAGAAGAGGCTAACAGCAATGCTTAATTTGTAACGAAAGAGGTGCTGAGGCTCAAGCAATTGAGTGCCAAGGCTCAAACAATCTTTTCTTCTACTTTCATACCTGGGGCAGTCAGACCAGAGGTGCTGGGGCTATGAAATGACAAGCTTAGAGGTGCCAGGGCTAAGATCTGGCAAGCCCTGGCTAACAGCCAGAACTTGGTGAATGGTAAATAGTCACCGAACAGAAACCCGAAAAGAGCAGTGGATGGAAGTGCCAACAGTGAGCAGTGAGGAAGAAACCACAGTCCTCTTACCTTAAGGGCTATGTAATCAATGCTTTCAGCACAAAAAATACTAATAAGAAAGGGACAATACAATCATCACTTCTTCTCCATACTGTCATAGGATTATCTTCTATCCAGTTTCTCTCCATTTTTAAAATAGTAAGTCTCCTGTCCCTCTTCTAGTTCCTTCCTGCTTAGGATTACATTCTTTACTGGCTTCAGCTGTACTCAACAGCCTCTGCTCCCTTACGCTCCAGTTTAGAAACAACTATTCCAGCTCAAAGCAAATCTGCCGCATACCTCATTTCTAGCCCCACAACCTGGCTATGTCTACACTGGCCCCTAATTCCGGAAAAGTCATGCAAAGCAGGTAAGTCAGAATAGGGAAATCCGCGGGGGATTTAAATATCCCCCGCGGATTTAAATAAACATGTCCACCGCTTTTTTTCCGGCTTGGGGAAAGGCCGGAAAAAAGCGTCTAGACTGGCGCGATCCTCCGGAATAAAGCCTGAAGGTAGGAATAAGAGATCCTCCAGAATGTTGCTCCCCAAATATGTGAACTTCTTTACGTTCTCTAGTTTGATCCCATCTACACTGATCTTCCTTCCTATTTCCTTATCTCCAAATACCATTATCTTCATTTTATCGATATTCAGGTAGGAATAAGAGATACTCCGGAAAAGGGCTTTATTCCGGAGGATCGCGCCAGTCTAGACGCTTTTTTCCGGCTTTTCCCCAAGCCGGAAAAAAAGCGGC